TTTTTCTTTTTTAATAAATCTGCAAAAATGTCAAAAATTCTGTGTTTTTCTGTCAATATGGGGTGCTGTGTGTACATTAATGAGGAAAAAAAAATTAACTTAAATGATTTTAGCATATGGCTGCAATATAACAAAGAGTGAAAAATTTAAGGGGGTCTGAATACTTTCTGTACCCACTGTATTATGTATGCATTGTGCAGCACAGCTTACAATTCACCTATATATATTCATGCAGAAATAAACAGAATTATAAGCCCTTTCAGGGCAGAAATATGAACCAAAATAACATAATAGCAAACTGAGCCCCACCTCCAAAAGCTACTATAATCATGTTAATAATAATGCTGAAGTCTGATTAAAAAAAAAAAAATTTAAACTCTTCTCATATGCAAAGCTGATCCTAACTAGAGACTTAATTTTCACCGTTCTTGTCAAGCTTGTCATCCAGTTCAGTGGGATTTTGTAACCTTGCAAGATTTTATCTCTCAGGCTGTTAGAGAAGCCACTAGTAGATAAATGCAGTACTGCGATCTCTAGTCCTCTGAGAAGAAAATAAGACAATGGCAAGTGCATAGTGTCATATCAGTTTAAAAGTCCCCAAGCTGAAGTCAGCTGCAGATCGAGTTTAAAATTTGACCCGTGATTTAAAAGTCTCTCGGTGAACTAATATCTACATGAAGAAATATAAATGTCAGATAATTTGATGCTTCATCAACATTTTACTTTGTTGTCTTTCACCTTTGGAACAACCTTATCAACACTCTCAGACATACTAAGACATGAGATGACTTAAAAGAAAATTACACTTCTTTATACGTTTTAAATACCTGTAATACCTGGTGGAAAGCATGGGGAAAATTTTAGGAAAATCTTTTTGAATAAAGGTGGGGTGAGATAAAAACTAATACATGCATTGTGTTTATATCATTATTGTTTTACTTCCCTCATATTTATGAGGTATTTTTAGTAACTGAAAGGTAGTTGGGTTATAATAATTAAGACAAGAAATTTCAGGGAAATGTGAATGAAATTCAAATTTGCAATTATCAGTTTTTTCCCTCCAAAAATGCTTATTTAATTGACTGACAGAATTATCAAAAGATTTACTGCAATAAATGTTAGTTGCAGCCCTCCAAACGGTAAATGGACTTGTATAGCGCTTTTCTATTCAAAGTGCTTTCACAATATCTGCACATTCACCCATTCGCAAGCATGCACAGAGCCACCATGAGCAACTCGGGGATCAGTGTCTTGCTCAAGGACACTTATGGATATATGGACCGGAGAAGCTGGCAATTGGACCATCCACCCTCTTGTTAGGAGACGACCTCCCAAGTCCTGTGTGTGTATGGAGGAAAGAAAAATGGCTCGCTAAGTTCTGTAGCATTGTCACCGTCTTGAGTATTACTATTGCACCACATTTACACCACTGACTGTGGGTACAGTTGTTACACACCAGTGTTACTCCATGTGTATGAAGTGTGGCGGGAGTGCATGGTTGACACCTGAGTATGATAAACTACCATGCTGTGCAGTATGTTACTGCAGCTAACACCCTTTCATACATCTACCTTCTCTGATATAATGTACAATCTATGTGCTTTTCTGTAAGCCACAACAATAAGGTTTTCACCTTTTGTCAAAAATCCCACCATATCCTTGATACACTTCAAAATATGAGACAGTCAGGAAAACAGCTGAAAACCAAAATAAAATAAAATAAAATAAATGTGCCAGAAATGACAAAACCCATTCTAAAACACTGCTGTAAGGCAGGGGTCGGCAACGTCCAGCCCACCAGATGAATTTTGAAACGTTTATTTATACAGCATGAGTCCGAGTCACACGAACAATCCTTTTTTTGTTATTTTATGACTATTAATTTGAGTTCAATTTGACACTTTCAAAGGTTCACTGTGAGTCGCTCTGTAACCCCTCCCCTCCTCTCCACTCTGCTGCAGCTTGCGGTGACAGAACCGCT